GCCCCTCCCCTCCCCTCCCCTCCCGCGCCAGCGTCGTGGGGACGGTCTCTCTCTCTCCGCCAGGCCCAGGCGCCTTATTCCCCCGGCCCGACCTCCCCCAGCCGCGTTTCCCCCCGCCTGCCTTTACCAGCCCTCTTCCTGCCCCCTCCCCCCCCCCAAGAAGCGGCCCTGACAAACTGCACAAACGAGGCACCCTGGCAGTCGCACCTGCATCAGATCTGTGAAGCAGAGACAAGCCCCATGCACCTGCACGCTTGGTCTTGGCTGAGGCTGTTTGTGACCCATGAAAGTAATGATGCAGTCGTGTCCCAAAGGAGAGGTCCTTCCAGCAGCTGGCAGCCCCTGGCAGTCTCGTCTCTCCCAAGCTGGAGAAGGGGATTAGAAGAGTAACGAAGGAAAGTTACTTTTCAGATTGCCATCTCCGCTAGCAGGCCGGTGCACGTGTGTGGGTCTCCTGGTGTTGCGCTCCACAGCTGGGGGGATCCCAGTGCTTTCTGCTTATCCTCACACTGTTACTGAGAAGAATCTAGTTTGCAAATGATCTGGTCAGACTGGGGACAGACTCAGGCCCCAGCCTGCCACAGATGCTGTGCCTGCTTAATGTTGTAGTTTAGGGGTTTTCACCCTTTTTAAGGAGTGTACCCCTTCTGGATACGCTTCTGGCAGGGTGGGGAGGGGCAGGAGGGGGTACATTATCAGCTACACCAGCCAAAAAACGCCAGTAGCCAGTGATGTTAATTCTCCATTTATTGGGGCTAATGTGATAAGGCACTGATGTATTGGTGCACCTCTACTGGAATTGTCATTTTGGACCCAGATGCTCACTGGGTAAAAATAACAAAGCTGGTAGAACAGGTTTATCTGTCTTGACAGGTGAAGTTAGGAGACAGGAAAGTAGTTAAAAGGATGCTATCGTGACGCTGAAAATTTAGGGAGAGACTTTAAGACATAGATAGCAAAGTCACTGGGAGTTGAGTCTAACTTGTCTTTTGAAATATATCTCATATTTTTCAGTTTGAGCACAATAAAAAGCATGACAATACAGTAAGCAGGGCTAGTAAAATATGATGTACTTTCTATTTCCTGTTGAGCTGCCCAGTACACTGCTTTACTCAGTAACCTACTAATGGTACATGTGGCCTGTTGTCTTTTCTGAAATATAGCTTAAATATCTGGTTGTGGGCTGCCATTTTAAAACGCAAAGGATTTACAAAGTTTAGAAGAAAATAACAGTATTGACATTTTTTTTTTTTGCAATGTTTCCTTAACTAATTAGACTTGTGGGGCCCAACCTTTTTGCTTGGCAGGCCAGATGGGCAGTGCCTCATCCTACCACACAAGGGAAAGGTACCTGACCTGGCTGTGGCCCAGCCCCAACCTGGTCCTGCAGGGTGGGGTGGGGAGGTGGCCCTGGGCTGGGGGAATGGGATGTGACTTGGCCCAGCCCCAATCCAGAAGCAGGGAGGGGCCAAGTGCAGGACTTGGGAATTTGGCAGTAGGGAGGGTGGCTATACTAATGGCCACCACTTTCTCCACCCCACCCCCTTCCCTTCCACCAAATTTCTGGGTCCATGGGGATTCCTATGGACCCGATGAGATGGTTTCATGGGCTGCATTTGGCCCATGGGCCAGAGGTTGAGCACTACTAAATTAGACTAAACTCCGATTCTCAGTGTTGTCTTCCAAGATATAATTTGATGGCAAATTTTTATTTGTGTGTGAATTTATTAAAATGTACAGGGTGAAGTCCAAAAGCATAATTGAAGTAAGACTCTTTGCCATTCCTGTATCCTCCAGTTGTATAGTAATTAGTATTGTGTGTGGCTGTGCATTTTGTAAGAGTAAAATTGGGATTTAGGAAGTTTTGAGTTCTGTCACTTGTGTTGCTGCTGTCTCACTGTGCATCAGGTTAGGACAACTTGACCAATTTCTTTATTTTCCCAATCTGCAAAGTATAAATAACATTTATATGCCTATTCTACAGGAATGCAGTTGAAGATAAATGTTGGTACAGTACTTTGTGTGTGCAAGTTACTATGAAAATGCTAGCACATATTGTTTTCATAGACTTCAAGGTTAGAAAGAAAGCAGCTCTTTTGCATTCAGTCATTTTACTGAGTATAATGATATCTGATGTATAAACTTCATTTATTTACTTAAATGGATTGTTGTCTCTGATACCTACTGCTAGCTCGTGTTTATTTCAAATAATGAATACCAAGAGAGACAACATACATGACTAGATGCCTTTTTCCTTTTTGCCATGGGAAGTAGATATAGAGAAGGTAATGTAAAGCCCCCAAGTCTGTCAGATTCCTGGTAAGGGTAGAAACCCTGTGTTGGGTCTCCTAGTCATGTACTTGTTTAATTATTATATAAATGCTGTCATTACTTCAGATACTTTACTGTTGATTTGGGAATGGCCGTTGTTAAGGAAAGGAGAAGGGTCTTATAGGCAAATACTGGCAACAGATCAGAGCTATCTGAAAACCTGCTTGGTTTTTTGTTGACTTGCCTTTCCACTTAACAGCCTGCCAGGGTCGTTGGAGCTAGGGAGATAGCTCCCTGAGGACTTTCTCCCTTCTCATCAGCACACTGGTCGGAATTTTGTTTCAAAATTACAAAATAAACCACTTCATATTTTTTAAATAATTGTTTTGGAATCTATTTCCCAGAGAATTTTAGAATTACTGGGTTTTATTCCAAATCAGAGAGAACCCAGAATTCTCAACATATGAACATATGAATTTTCTCAGATCTTCTGCCAGATGAAATGGCTGTTCTTCACACAGCCCAACAGAAAACGTTAAACAATTAAATCTTGTGTCCGTTACTAGTCTAGAGTTTGCATGCAGCTGAATTAGACATGTTAGTGTTTAAAAAAGGAAATGGTTTAAGTAAAAGCTGGCACAGCACAAAAATCAGGGAGCAATGTGAAGTGTTTGTAGTTAAAATTAGGGGTGCGTCGATAGAGGTTTTTGCGGCTGATACCGATAACCAAATTTTAAGGAGGCATGTCGGCCAATGCTGATCTGATTTCTGATACCAGCCCCGTAGCTTGGAGAGCCCCCTCCCCCCCCACATCAGACTTACCAGCTGGAGGCAGAAGAGAAGGGACATGAGGATGGGCAGATCAAGGTCCCTTTGTGGGGGAGGAGGGGGGCTGGGGTAAGCGCTGCCCAGCCAAGGCAGAGCAGGTGCAGGACGGTGCCGCTGCTCGTCCGGGGAGGCAAGGGGGGCGGGTCCTACCGCTGCTCGGCCGGGAGCTGCTGGGCCGTTGCTAGCCTGCTTGTCCCACTGCTCCCACCGCTTGCTCAGGAGGGTGTGCGCCCCCAGATCTGCTCAGGGCAGGCTGGGGCCAGGGCTGCACCAAGCTCTTTCCGGTGGGGCAGGACTGTGCTGGGAGGGGTCTGGGGGGGGGGGCCAAACCCCCCCCCCATACCCTGCGAGGCGGGGACCGCCATCGGGAGCCCCGGGACAAGCAGGCGAGCACCAGGTGAATGGGGTGTGGTGGTGGGAGCTGCTCCCCACCCCCCCTGCACACCCCAGGACAAGCCCCTGCACCTGCTCCACCCTGGCTGAGCAGCGCTTGCCCCTGGCCCAGCTCCAGCCACCCTCCTCCCTTCCCACGGGGGCCTTGATCTGCCCCCCAGTGCCCCTTCCCTTCCTCTCCCCCTACACCAGATTTACTAGTTGGAGGCAGCTCTTCAAGCTGCTGAGCTGTGCTCCTCATGTGCTGTGCATGTGCACAGACCATTTATTGGCTAAATTATCAACCTGATATGGCCAATTTCCGATGTATTACATTTTCTTTATATCAGAGCTGATCCAATATCAGACCGATGTATTGGTGCACTTCTAGTTAAAATGCACTCCCAGAACAGACAAGTAAATTTTTTTAAGTGATGATGTAAAGCAGGGCTGTCCAACTGGTAGCCATTAAGCTGCATATGACCCCTGAGGGCCTAACCTGGCCCTCTACTCTCAGTCCAGGTGCTGCTTCTGTCATCATTCTTGTGCTGCTGTCACTGGGGTCTCCTGGATCCCCCTCCCACTTCCAGCTTCTGCTTCCTGACCTCCCCCAGCCTGTAGATGGGGATGGCGCAGTCTGTGATCCCTTTCCGCTTCTCCATGATTCTCTCTGCAGCTGGAATTAATGTTGGGGAAAAAAATAGAAAGACTGATGTTGTATAGAAGACAGCAAGGGAAACTTGTAAAGAAGCAGAGGTGGCAGGGTGACTTGATAATTCAACGAATCAACTTCATTCAGAAATAGAGGCAGTCATGTGAAGAGGCCAGAAGATACAATATGGTCAGAGCAGTAAGGCCAAACTTACCTCAAACATACTGTCTTACTCTGTGTACTTTTTGCAGCTGGTAGTGTAGCTGCTTCTATTAGCAGGCATTGTCAATTAGCAGTACAAATGAGTTGTACCCTCAGTCCCATGTGGATGCATCTACGCTGCACTGCTGATTAGGGGCAAAGGATAGCATGTGCAGCTGTACAACTCACTCATGCAGATTTCAGCTCATCAGGCTTAGAAGAATGTGAAACAAATGCAGGCTTTCTTTATTATTGGATGGTACCACACAGTTGATCATTAAAGCCACTAAAAAGTACCACAGCAATGTGATCAAAAGTGTAGGATTGCATATAGTGTTAAAGGAGAATTTAGTCCATACTAAATCTACATCAGAAACTACCTTAGATTATACATTTGAATGCCAATAGATATGGGCAAGGGGCCATTTTAGCTTGGAACTTTGGTAATACTGCATACCATAAGGGCACTTACATAAGATGAACAAAATGATACTAATGAAAGATTTGGCAGTAGTATGGAGTAATAGAGATCCTGGCCCAATTAAGTGAGGGAATTGTATGTAACTTGCATCTTGGCTCTGCGTATAAATTACATCAGTATAGATTTATGTTATCTTAACCTAGCATCCTGTTGTTTATATATTGATCTATGCTTAATTATATTGCATCTACATTTTGCTGACTTAGACGAAGGAAAGTAATTTTCCTTTCTCATTGAGGAAGAGTCTGACAAGTAATGAAGGGTCTTGTAAATTATAACAATTTAGACTAGTGTCATTAGGTATATTGTATAAAAGAACAACATCTCGGTCTTTATAATGTTCTGACTTACAGTATGTCAAGTACTAAACTGTTATTTTTTAGTAGCCAATTGGGCTTGGGTGCTTCAATCTTATAGTTGAACTTAAAGAGAAAAAGCTTCAAATGTTCTTTTTGGGGCCATTTTGAATGTGGCTGCCTTGCAGGCAGTTAGCATTACATATTCTGTGGAAGGTAGAATTCCAAAGAGTCTAGTTCTATAGTCATCCAAAAATCTTTACATCTAAGAAAGGGGTTGGCAATCCTTGGCACATATGCCAGAGCATGCCACGCAAGGCCATTTTGCTGGGCATGCCACAGCTGGCCTGGGCTCTGAGCAACTGCCACCAGCTACAGAACACAGGCTGCTTGCAGCAGGCAGTGGGGAGGCTGCAAGCTCTGCTGTGAGTAGCCTGGGGGCAGGCAGCTGCTGTCCAGAACCTGGGCCAAGCAGATGCCTGCCGGGAGGTGATAAGCAGCCAGGAGGCTGCAACTGGTGCATGGGGGCCGGAATCCCAGCCTGGCTCCATGGCCGGTGGTGACTGCACACAAGTCTCGGGGCACATGGCAGGGAAGGGACCTGGGGTAGCACAATCCTGGCCCCTTTCTAGTCATGTGCCCCAAGGCACGCGTGCATCTGCCACCGCTATGGCATCAAGTTGGGGCTTGGGATCCCAGTGCAGTTGCTCATAGCTTGCCCATCACCTACTACAAGCAGCCTGAGCTCCATGGCAGCAGCGACTGCATGCTTACTTTAGGGTACATGACAGAGAAGAGGCCAGGGTTGCACTTCCCCAGACCCCTTCCCCACCATGCACCCTGAGCCAGGCCTGCCCAGAGGCCAGGCTGCTCACAGCAGGCAGCCATAAGGCTGCAGGCAGCTGCACTGAGGTCCAGAACCCCACTCTGACTCTTTGCTGGCAACAGCTGCATGTATGCCTCGGGGAGTGTGGCGGGGAAGGGGCCAAGGTTGTGCTGCCAGTGCCACACGAAGGATCGGGCTCCTTGCGGTTGCTCTGCCAGCCACCCCTGGCACACCAACATCTTCTAAGTTCAGGTTGCAGGGTTTTTTGGCATTCAGCCCGAAGACATTGCCACCCCTGATTTAAGATGTCCACTGATGGTTTCTGTTAAGATTAATAGGAAGGAGATGATCAATAGGAGCTTAAAAACTGCTTTTACACATAATGTAAGATAAGGTCTCTCCAATTTCCGAATAGGATTCGGACAGAATTTATTACTACATCAGAATGTGATTTACAGATATCCAGCACAAAGAAGATGATAGTGTGCTTAATCGTGTTATAGTGCATTGCAACTTTTTTTGGTAAAGTATACTGCTGATATAGGTAACATTGTATATAGTAACCTGCTTCCCTTCCTCTCATACTCCATATGTTTTTATTTTCAAATATCATACAGCAGAATCTTGTTTAAACTCTTAAACTGGTATGGTCTTATCTACAAAATTAACTTGATAATTTAAAAGTGAGGGAGGGTGAGTGACATTCCTATCATGGGGAAGTATGCAATAAATACAGTGTTGATTTCTGTACTTTACTAACCATGGCCTCTTTTCATTGTCAGGATTTGTATTTAGTGAATCTGAATCAACAGCATTAGAACAATTTGAAGGTGGCCCTTGTGCAGTGATTGCACCAGTTCAGGTAATATGCACTGTTTCAAGAAATAGTTTATAATTAATAGACAGCATTTCTCAGTTATTTTCCTTAATTTTTACACAACCATAACTAAATACTAATATTATGCAGAAGAGAGGGTTCTGCCAAATGAATTTACAAAATCAGATAAAATCAGAGAAACGAGTCCAGGCAGAAGAAGGGGCACAATCAGTCTAACCAGCGAGAGACTTTGCAGAAGTGTCATGTGTCATCTGGGAAGTGTGAAAGATTAATTTGGGCATTGGTAACTTGAAAGAATGTATAGCAATCTCAGTTTTTTTCTTTTGCATAAATGTGCTTCTGCTGGAGCATTTATAAGAGGCAGTTATTCACAAGAATTGAGAGCAGTTACGTTTTGTGTCTGCTAATATCTACTGTTTGAAAAAGAGGAAATATTAAACTTAGTCTTAATTAGTAAAATAATTAGAGGGGAATTAATATAACTGGTTTGTAAAAATTGATCCTTTCCGTTCTGGAGACTCTCATACTGAACTTTATATGAATTGCAGTCCGCTTGACTGCCTGTGATGATAGTTTTCATATTTTCAGTGTGCATGCTGCATCTCTTTATCTTGTGGACCACCTCTACTTTCACTGTGAATTAACATCCCACAACATTTCCTAATAGTACTGTGTCATATAAATGGTTGCTGGAGTCAATCTCCTAGCTCTTTCTAAAGTGGCTTAGTAGTTCTCCATAGACTTTTATGGTCTACAGACCACAATTTTGGGAGGAAAGGACACAGGTGGTCCATATGAAGGAAGAATATTCTCTTTTATATTTGCAAGTCTGGTCTGAGCTATCAAAGAGCTTGCACCAATGCCTCTGCCATCACTATCTTCCTTTAGCAGCTGTTTTACAAATTTAGCTATCAGGATTGTTTCCTAGCAGTTATCACTGCAAGCTGTCCTCAGTAGGTTTAGTATGCTAGCTGTGGCAAGTTTCCAGAGTGAAGTAATGTTGTATTTGGAACCATTAGTAGGAGCTGAGTGAGATGCCAGAGCAAACTGCAAGCAGATGGCCTCCAAAGTGAGTTGTTGAGGGTGTTACAACATAGAAAGCTGTAGCAGGCCTCCATTTGGCACCATTGTCTCTGAGTTGATTGATGGGAATTTGATGGACATCTATACATTTGCACTAGGGTGTGGGTGGTGTGTGTATTAATTAGAGTGGCTCTCAGGAGCCTCTCTAATTAAAAAAATGCCTGTCATTAGAACACGTCAGAGCAGACTTGATTAATTGAACCTACTAGAACGTTCTAATCAGAATGTTCCAGCAGCCGTGCTGTCACATGTATACAGTTTCAAAATGGCGATTGGGGTGCTTTAATTAAAGCTCAGATGAACTTTAAAACACCCCTGCCACCATTTTGAAACACAGGCACACTGAATACACGTGATGGCAAGGCTGCTGGAGCATTCTGATTAGAACGCTCCAGTAGGCTTGATTTATCAAGTCTGCTCTGACGCGTTCTAATTGGAAGGTGTCGGCGCAGGTATCCCTCACATACAGGAACCTGTTGATTCTCATGATCACCTTTATAGATATAATCTCCTTTCTGAATTTGTTTTTAAAATTCAGGGATCAGTTTAATGAGTTTCAGTGACGGGAGGAGGAAGTGCATCTAACATAAAGATTAATCTTGGAGACCCTGCAACAAGTGCCACTGGCATAGATATTTCAAGGGAGAAGGTTGGTTAAAAAGCTCCTGTAGAAGAATAGATTAGATAAGTGAGCCTGGATGAGGAGGAAAACGAGAGGGTAGCTATGAGGGTCAAACAAATTTAACAGCCATACCTTATGCTATCATAAATTAAGCCAGGGAATGTAAATCTTTCTTTACGCTTGCATTATAGGTGTTACATGGGAATTACTGTTGCAAAACTTGTTTTCAAGTTGATGCTTTAAAGGCTTCCATATTTGATTTTGAATGGGACATTCATAGACAGTTAGAGCAGATATCTAAGAAGGTGCTGAATTTTCTGTCAGACCTGAGGCAGCATGCGCTTTTAAAAATCATACCTTACAAGTTGCTGAGCTCGTTACCTGCTTACAATGATTGGTTAGATCTCTGGGCAGAAAAAGGCAGTCTTGAGAATAGCTTCACATAGAGAATTGAGTGAAGGAGATGTACCCTGAGCACGAGTTACCTTGGATATCCAGAGTTAGAAATAAACGTGTTCTGGTAACCTCAGTTAATGTTAATACCTTACGTATGCATACTAGGTTCTAATTAGATTGAATGATAAAATTAGAGAACAGAGGCTATTCTGGGAAGCTTTCATAGTTTGATTGCAAATAATTTGACAGAGGTCTGATGTTCTTTAATGTAAACATAATGTGCCGTGTAGAACTGAAGTGTTAAAATGTCATATGCTCTTGTAGTCTAACAGTTATTCCTTTTAATTACAAAGGCATTCCTTTTGAAGAGACTTTTTGCCAGTGAGAAGTCTACTTGGAGAGAGTGTCAAGGTAAGTAGAGTTTGTTTGGTTGGTATCATCATTGTTATCATTATTATTGTAACTTGCATTGCAGCTTGCATTTCAAAGAGATTAATTTTTTTAACTGACTGTGCTATAGTGCTGCAGGAATAAATGGTATGTACAATGCATGTGGCTGTAAACTGCCAATTTTGGTACATCAGTACTGGTTTGTAGAATTTGCTTATATTGATGTACATCACTGATTGAATTGTTCATCTTGGAGTAGTTAATTTTTTAATAAATATAATTGAGATGGATTATAATCACCTTGAGTCATATCATTCAGAGGCTGGTTTTATAATTCTTCCTTCTAATTTGGCCCCGCTAACTAATAAGTAGGTGTGTACACTTAGCACTAATAGCATGTTTAAGATGGTGATTAACATCAATTTGGCTGATTGAAGGTCTGATCTTTCAGAGGAAGAACAGAAGAACCTCCTCTCACATACATTATGTGACATTTTGGAAATGGTTTGCTCTGATAATTCAGAATCATACTCTTTGGCAACATGGATAAGAGGCAAAACAACCGAAGAAACTGCTAGTATTTCTGAGAGTCCTGCAGAGTCAAGTCATCAAGAGGAACAACCTTGTAAGCTGAATTTCTCCTCTAAATGCCCTGTTGTCTTTTGAGGAATATTTCATTCTTTTAGGGAATTCTCAACATCTGTACAATACACTATGTGTATAACTCTTTCATTATTATTAGATAAGGATTTTTTTTCTTTCTGCTTCGTTGTTATAGATGGATTTTCTTTCAGTAATATAAAATTTAAATAAATCTCAACTCGGCCTGATGTCACATTCCATTCTATAAAAACTGTCCATCAGAGTTGTTTCAGTTTTGTTTCTTTTGAGGTCACGCAATTTGAGCATTCTTTAAAAGGAATACTACACTTTTTTTTAAAGCTTTTTAGGGGCTGACATCTTACTAACTGCTATTCAGCCAAACCTAACCACATTGTCAGCTACTTTTCCCATGCCTGGGATATCTACCTAACACTGTACTTTTGCTCTGTGATGGACTCTTATGAAAACCTGGTAAAACGTTAGGGTATGTCTTAGAGGTGCATTGCTCGGATATTGGATCAGTACTAATATAAAGAAAATTGTCTGTAGCGGATATCGGGCCAATAATTTGTCCGATAAATGCCCGTAAACTGGTAAATTGGAAGTGGGGAGGGAAGGAGTGTGGGAGGGACGGATCAAGGCCCCCCCGGGTTGAGGGAGGGGGCAGGTGCTGCCCCAGCGGGGAAGACATGGGAGGGAGGTGCGGCTTGTGAGGTGGGGACAGCTCCTGCCGCTGCTTGCACCCCAGGTGGGTGTGGAGGGGGGCATGTGCCCCTGGATCTGAGCAGCGTGGCATGGGGTGGGCTGCAGCTGCAGGGTGGAGCTGGCGCTGCATGGGGCTTTTCTTGCTGGGGGCTGGGCTTAAAGCAGGCTCCAGCGGCACTGGGAGAAGGATGCAGCCACCCCAAATTTCACTGCAGCTCCACTCCCGGCCCCACACCACTGCCTGGCACAGCCCTGGCTCTTCCTGGCACTTGGGTGGAGGCGGGGCATTCAGCTGGGGCTGCTCTGGGTGGCAGTGTGGGGCTGGGAATGGAGCTGTGAAATTTAGAGTGGCTGCAGCCTCTTCCCAGCATTGCCGGAGCCCGCTCTCCGCCCAGCCCCCAGCAAGCAGAGCCCCACACAGCACTAACTCTTGCTCCACCC